AGGACTGAGGCTTCATCATCAGCTTTAGTGAATGGAAAAAATACGATTCATTCAGGGGTGCCCCCTTGAATAAAATATTGGAGAGGGGGGCAGGAAAACCCCGCCCCGCATAACCGATCACATGACGCGGAGCACAACCATTTGAATGGCAATGCCTATGGCGGGGGCTGGCCCCCTCAAATATTCGTCCTATGGCCCCTATGGATCTATTAAATAGACTGGCGTCAAAGGCAACAAACCCCTTTGCATTATTTTTTAAAACCAGAAAGCTGACTTCTGCTCGGAAGGATGCTATTAAAGGATATTAACTTATTTAAAAACAAGTGCTTTGCAGTTTGTGTCTTGTTTGTTTGTTTGTTTGTCTGTCTGTTCTGTTGTTGTTTGCTATTTAATCTCGAGTAAATCCAAAGGCTGGATTGCAGCCTTAGAGGCTCAGCCTGCACTATACATTTAAAGCAGCATCGCCCCCACTTTAAGCAGTCATGGCTTCCCCCAAGAAGTAGAAGAAGAGGAGTTTGGATTTGATATCCCGCTTTATCACTACCCGAAGGCGTGGGGTGGGAATAGGGGGTTCTCCTAAAAACTCTCAGCTTCCTTAACAAACTACAACTCCCAGGATTCTTTGAGGGATGTCATGGCTGTTTAAAGTCACATGACACTGCTTTAAATGTATTGTACATATGAGGTCTCGACTACTTTTAACGGGGAATCTAAACCACTTTCCCCTACTGAAATGACCTCCCTGTCGGACAGGCAACCTCAGTTCCCATTACTGCATTGGCTCTCAGCTGACCTTCGCTTCTTTCCCTGCCATATCCTTACCTTGTACTTGTTAGGATGAGAAGCAAACACTTCCTTCATTATTCCTTCTACTCCTGATGTTCAGGCTGTGAGTGCCGTTCATTATGTAGTAAAAATAAATAAATGCATTACCCACGCGCAGGTGGGACTCCTCGTCTGGCTTGAGCGTGGGGGGGATGCACAGGTTTGCAGAAGGGCAAGAAGAATGAGTATTATGGAGGGGAAACAGAGGGTGTCCGCTCGAAAACACCTGGACGAGGGCTCAGCATGTTCAGGGGCCACGAAAAGCTGGCGAGGGGCCGCAGAAAACGGGAGGGGGGGAGAGGCAGTGGAGTCAACTGGCTCGAAACCTGAGCAAGGACCACTCCACAATATAAAGTTTGGTTACAAGTCCAGCTACTCTCAAGCAATAACAGAATTTACAGTGGCCAATAAACAGATATTCCAAAAGAGATTCTAACTTTTCTTTTAAAAAATAAAAATAAATCAAGCTTAATTATGAGCGGAAAGATAATCCCAGTATGATTAGCACGCCTCCATAATGAAATAAGCAGAAAGGGTTCTCGTTCACACGTGCATCTTTTATCAGTAAAAACAAATCCCTGCTTGTGAGCAGAGACTGAGCTCCACAGAACCGAGTTCCCACGTTGCCCTGTATAAGGTCCCAATAGGATGTTCAGCTGTGGATCATCTAATGGTTAATCACATGCGCGTGTGTGAAAGTTGACAAGAAGCCCATGTACATTGTCAGTTGCCCTCGCATAATTCTTAGACTTTTTGCGTTTCTGACAGTACCTGTTGTTGTTGTTGTTTAGTCGTTTAGTCGTGTCCGACTCTTCGTGACCCCATGGACCAGAGCACGCCAGGCACTCCTGTCTTCCACTGCCTCCCGCAGTTTGGTCAGACTCATGTTTGTATCTTCGAGAACACTGTCCAACCATCTCGTCCTCTGTCGTCCCCTTCTCCTTGTGCCCTCCATCTTTCCCAGCATCAGGGTCTGACAGTACCTAACGGACCCTAAATTGATGTGACGTTGTAGGCGCTTAAAGGGCACGTCTAGTTACAAGCTTGAAACAGTTGGAGAGTCTTCTCAGGGCATCCTGGGTGAGGAGGGGGACCCCTGTGTCCTCCCAGATGGTGTTGAACTACAGCTGCCATAGTGCCTGACCATTAGTCATGCTGTTGAGGCATGATGGGAATTGGAGTCCAACAACTTCTGGAGGCCACAAATGTCTCCCCCTGCCCCTCTCCCCACAGATGAAGAGAAACCCCACTGCAAGGCTTCCTCATGCTCCTTTCCTCTCAAAATCCTGTCCAGCTACCGACATGACTGCACCGTGAAGTTCAGTAGGCACTGAAGAAACCTGATACAATGTCACAACATAGCCATCACTTCTACTCATGGGATCAAGGGTGTTGGGATCATGGATGTAGTATTTGTGCATCACCATCTACCAAGGTGACGGTGGTGGAAGGAGGGATACTTACACTTCAGCTCACCTGTTCCCTTCTTGCATCTTTGCACTTGAGGTATGGAACCTGATGTGAATTATTGTGCTTCAGGAGTTGGAGAACAAGAAACAAAGTTCATGAGATGATATTCCCTCCCTTCAGAAGTTAAGGAGATAAAGAACTACACAACCTTTAGAAGACATTTGAAGGCAGCTTTTAATGCTGGGTGTTTGATTGTTTTTTTATATGTGCTGTAAGCCACCCAGAGTGGCAGAAGAAACCCAGCCAGATGGGCGGGGTATAAATATGATGGTGATGGTGATGGTGATGATGTAATGGAGCAGGGACAACCGCCCCCGCTCATTTCACAGCAGGGGGGAACCCCAGCCAGATGGGCGGGGTGTAAAGAATAAATTATTATTATTTCTTGGGGGCGATTTGCCAATCCATTGCATGCCAAACAAGCTAGGCAAATAAGCTAAGCAGAGAGGCTGCATTATTAGCAGAGAGGCTAAGTCTTAAAACTGTCTCTCTTACTTTGACAAATTCCAGGCTCCCTAGACTACGACCAAGCTAATGTTCAACAGGTAGTGCGCAAGCTTCAGAGACCACCAGAGATCTTCCTTAGGCTGGATGTTACGGAAAGTGAGAGCGGGAAGTGACTATCCCCAAAAGCCGGTGTTGAAACCATAATTCTGTATTACTAAAAGAACAACAACAACAACTTTAAAAAACGATGTTGCTGCATCGTCTCAGAAGGGGCGTGGCTAAAGGAGCTGTCACAAAGAGCTCCCCTACTTCAGAATTTAGCCCTAGACCTAAGAGAGGATTCCCTGCTTCCCCCAGGCTGCATCTCCCAGGATTCCTTGCGGGGGCAGAGCAAGTCTGTTAGGGCCAGAAACAGGAAATAACAGAGCTAGAATTGACTAGCAACCGGCAGAAGCAGTGAAACGTACAAAGAACTCATTCTCTCAGGGACATTACTTGGAGGAGGGGGAAGAATCCAATCCTCTGCCTCTCCCCACCCTTTGCAAATGAAAATCAGGCGCAGTGTGATCAACCGATGTGATGGTCTTTAACCTTTGGGTGGATGTGTACCAAACAATATACCCCCTCCTCCCCGCCGCCTCTCAATCCTGCGCTAGGAGAGATCCCTTTTAAAACACACAAACACACACACCATTTTTCTTCCCTCAGCCGCGCTTCATTTTCTACTGCACTGCCATCGCTTCCCTGCAACTCAATTCCCTCCTGTCCAACCATCTTCCTGCGTGTCATTTCCCCTCTCCCCATCACTGCTGATTGTGCAAAGTGTACAGGTTGGAAGAACCCCCTCCCCTCCAAAAAACCCCAAAACAACGGCCCTCAAAACACCGCAACCGCAGAGATGCAGCTAAACAGATTACCAAAGGTGAAATCCAGCAAAACGTTTATTGCAAGAGGTGGTTGGGTAGGTTGGGGGTGATGTTGTAAAATCGTGTGTTTGCAACAGTAGAAGCAACAAAATGGATTTAACGTGCCACACACGTCTGTGGTCTGCAGCCCGCCTATCAGATCCCTCAAAACCCTTCTTCCCCAAACTCTTCTCTTCTAAACTTTTGGATCCTCTGAAAGACTCTGTGGGACGCCACCTTTCCTGGGTTCCATCCGTATCTTCTCTGCAGCTCTCTCTCACACACATTTCTTCTTCTTTGCTAAACAGGTACATTTCTCTTCCCTTCTCCCGCTCCAGTCCATCCCTATTTCCCCAAATCTCCCGGCCCAACATAGGAAGCTGCCTTAATACCGAGTTGGACAACTGGTCCATCTAGCCCACTATTGTCTACACTGGCTGCCAGCAGCTCTCCAGGGTTTCCGACGGAGACTTTCCTTGTCCTACCCGGAGATGCAGATATTGAACTTGGGTCCTTCTGCATGCATGACATATGCTCTACCACTGAACAAGGGCCCTTCTCTCCAACCACATTGGCTGCTGCCTGTATCCAACTGCATCTTTCTGAATCAACTCAATCATGTCCCTAACACAACCGGTACTTTCTTCGTTTTATCGAACCCCACACCGCAGCAGTTTCTGAGTTCTTCGGGAGCTTCACACCACGCCACAATAAGCGATAGTCTCTTCTTTTCAAAGGGGGGGGGGGACTTTCGCCTCCTCCGCTCTCTCTCCCTCTTCTCAAGGAGGACTAGGAACTTGACGAGCGAAAGTGAGATATGGGAAAACGCGCTGGCAAATAGATGGGAGAGGGAAATGATAGCTGTCAACTTAATACTCCAACATTCAGTTTTTAAGGCTAGTTCAGGTGATTGGTTTTTCTTTTTGTTTGTTCTACGAGTTTCGTTCAAGGATTGGTTAGGCAATAAATGAAGGAAAGGGCAGGGATCGCTTAATTATTATTCCTGAACATGGGGTCGGAGAGGAGAGCTCTCCAGGAAAGCTTCAGTTTCTTACTTGTACTAAACCACAAGCGTCCACTTACACTGCCTGAACTGTCAAGACTCCCTTGAAGATTTAGGGAAATGTATTTTTCGACTGTGGCACAATTGTCTGCTTGGATACCTTCGCCGCCTTTTGGAATTCTCATTCCCAGCAGAAGCTCTTTGAGAAAAGGGTGTGTGTGTGTGTGTGTGTGTGTGTGTGTGTGAATCCGTGACAGTTAAACCGGTTCCTGTTCATAGTGCAGACACGTATGCAATTATAACCAAGAGGGGGAAATGCGCCGATTAAAAAGAAACCCAGGATCCCTTTGCACAGTAGGCTGGATTTCTCGATTTTATTATAAAATAGAAGCAGAAATATTATTTTTTTTTCCAAATACCGTATTCACATAATATAAACAATACAGAGAAGTTGAGGGGGCCTCGCTGGCGCGTGATAACTTTCCTTGGGTTTCGATGAGCAGCAATGGCTTATTATAATATACACATATAGATAGGTAGAGATAGAGATATAACGCCTGCTCTTGGCCCTGTTATAATTTGAATGGGTGCCGTGGGCTCCAAGTGGGTCAGAGTCCGGGCCTGGCGCACAAGCCCGGACAACTCCGCACATTATCCTGGGTGGCCCCGCAGACTCCGAAGGGGAAGGAATAGAGGGGAATATTATTATTATGAATAAAAATATTATTAATAATAAGGGTGATATAGGCTATCTCAATGTTAAATGTGCAAAACGCTGTACAGTCTTTATCCTCACAAACAGCCCTGCGAGGTAGTTCGCCTTTGTTCCCATTTTACAGATGAGGGAACTGAAGCTGAAGAACGCCCACTGAGTCGAGGAGCTCAACCCAGATCTCCCGGCTTCCAAGTCCAACTCTGGAGCCACTGGATCGGCTTGAAGGCAAGTTCTGTGGCTTAAGCGATTTGTGGATCGCACCTTTCTCGTCCTTCACACCTAAAGAATGGCTTAAGGGAGGGGGGACCACACGAAGAAGACGAAATAAGTCCCTCCCCCTTCCCCACTTTCTTTGCCTAGCATCAGCTACAAAGGAGAAGAATAAGGGCTGGGGTTCATAGCTGTCAACTTTTCCCTTTTCTTGCGAGGAATCCTATTCGGAATAAGGGAATTTCTCTTAAAAAACGGGAAAAGTTGACAGCTATGCTGGGGTTGCCTATACAGCAGCTGGCAGCTACTACAGCGCTGGAATTTCAGCTGCTACTCTCCTCACAGCCTTCGGATCCAGCCCCACGATGCAACGTGCATTCTGCCATTCTCAAGCTATAGTAACCCCTTTACAAATCAACAGAGTTGCTAGGCTGGAGTCCAGTCCGATCCAAAAATCTGGGGCGGGGGGTGGGGGTTGAGGGGAGAAGCCTCCCGTTTGGAAAGAAGCCCCCCTGGTTTCAGCCAGACATTATTCCCAAGCACGTTGTTTCCCAAGATTCAGAAGCAGGACAAACCGGATGGGATGGAGTTGCCAACTTCGCAAGCAGCATCTGCCCTCGATTAACAGGCCTTCCCTCCACTCTCAGCGGCTTCAGATGCGGAAACGAGGAGGGCCAATGGCTTTAGAGATGGTTTTGAAAGGGGATTAGAACTAACTGGATGGACAATAGATGTACCAAGTTAGAGGTCGCCAGCCGTGATGGCAATGGAAGCTTCCGGTCAGAGGCAGCGGACGCTTCTCTGAAGACCATGTTGCCGGATGCAACTGGCATTCAGAATGGGGTTAAGAACTGGGAGCGAATGCAACTGGCATTCAGAATGGGGTTAAGAACTGGGGAGTGGGGCAACTCTCTACTTCCCAAAGGCCTCTGGTTGGCCATGGAGGAGAGGACGGTGCTGCTGGTGCCTGGTGGACCTTCTGGTCTCTTCAAGGCCTACAAAGCTTCACTTGTTGCTGATCAGGGTTCAAGCACAGCTCCAGAGCCCGGCTGAGAAGTTGGCAACCCCCAAACTGGACCTGATAAACTCCCATAGAGAGTGTGAAGGCTGAAGCTGCTAGCCACGTCCCTTCCTCTCCCAAGTGAGGGGCTGCCCTGACCTCCTTTGCTCCCCTTCCACCATCCCCACCCCTGCAAAACCACACACCCAACAACAACTCCTAAGGAAGAGTCCACCAGCTTCGCCAAACCCTCTTAAGACTTGCCAGGGTCTTGAGGTTACAGTACCTTCCCCAAAAGTCATTAGTCAGCCGACCAAGCGTTGATCCAAAGCCAGACAACGGATCCGTGTGAAGGAGCTTGCTATCCCTTTCAATGTTTCAGGTAATAGGTATGAGTGTTTTGTTTCTTTAAAAAAAGAAATAATAAGAAGAAGCCGAGTGGGAAGCATGGATTCAAGGGACATCATGGGTGCCACGAACGTCTTAAGAGCCCAGGTCGACCAGGTTGGAGGACATGGAGTTGAGGATGGAGTCTTGCAAACTGTGGTGGTGCAGAGGGTCCGCGCTGGGTACAGGAATGGCACTAGGACCCTGGGGGTGGCCCAAGCTGTGGAGCGGCTGCAAGCCTGGGTTCGAATTAAGCAGTAAAGCCGGGCTGGACGAAGAGTGATCCGGCGTCCCCGAGGGCGTTTTCTCGTCTTCGGAGCTGCCCAAAACCGCCTTGTTGCCGTTCAGGGAGGAGGAAAGCGGGTTGTGGCCGTTGGAACTGGAATTCTCGTTGTTTTCCCTAGAAGGGAGAAAAGGAAAAGAGAGAGGAAAATTAGGATGTAAAAGGGGACCAGTCCCTTCCCTTCCCGCCCCCCCTTCATGCAGATGGTATCGACCGGATTGAATGCATGGTTCCCTGAAGCAAGTCTCGCTTGAGTCCGTGACCCAAGCACAGAGTCCAACCATAGGCATTTTCTCAGAAGTAAGTTCTGTTGCAATCAAGGGGACTTGCAGGGCAGTCCACGGCAGGACCCGTCCATCCATGGTGAAGCAATCGCCTCGGGCAGCAAGATCCACAGGGGCAGTAGATCCCAATGTAGATCTTTATTCCCTCCTTGCTCCTGATATATTCACTCATCCCTTCTTCCCTGGCAGGGCGAGGGGGCACTATTTTGTGGTTCACCTCAGGTGCCAAAATGTCCTGGGCCAGCACTAATCCAGGGCCCATGTATTGTTTTTAATATTCAGTTGGAAGCCACCCAGAGTGGCTGGGGAAACCCAGCCAGATGGGCGGGGTTTAAATAATAGATGATGATGATGATGATTATTATTATATAAAGCACATGCCCTCCAAAGAACTGTAGCTTACCCTTCACAGAGTTATGGTTGTTAGTAAGGTAAAAGGTAAAGGATTCCTGGACGGTTAAGTCCAGTCAAGGGTGACTATGGGGTGCAGTGCTAATCTCGCTTTCAGGCCGAGGGAGTCGGCGTTTGTCCCCAAACAGCTTTCCGGGTCATGTGGCCAGCATGACTTAACCGCTTCTTGCAAAACGGGACACCATGATGGAAGCCAGAGCGCACGGAAATGCCTTTTACCTTCTCGCCGCAGCAGTACCTATTTATCTACTTGCACTGGCGTGCTTTCGAACTGCTAGGTTGGCAAAAGCTGGGACAGAGCAACAGGAGCTTATCCCTATCGGGCAGATTTGAACTGCTGAGCTTCTGATCAGCAACCCCAAGTGGCTCAGTGGTTTAGACCACAGCACCACCCACGTCCCTACAGTTGTTAGAGCTCTTAAGAAACTACAGTTCCCAAGATTCTTTGGGTGGGTGATTTAAATGTGTGGTGTGTACACAGCTGGAAGTCCTATTAAATTCAATGGGTCTTACTCCAAGGTAAGGGGTTAGAATTGCAGCCCTACTCCCTAGGAAGGGTTAGAGAGCTCTAATGCATTTCAGACTTCAACCATTCTAGATAAGCTTCTGGGGAAGGAAGTCCCCTTGAAATCACTGGAGAGTGAATGAACGTGGAAAGAGTTGGGTTGCACGTCTGTCACTGACGAAGATGCTGATTCCATTTCTCCCTTTGGATACTGAAACCTGACATCGTTGAGAGAAAGGGCCAAACCTCTGTGGTAGAGCATGAATGCACTTACGGTACCTGGACTCAACCACACACCTAGGGTTATTCTGAGAATAACATGGGAAAGGGGAAGAATCATAATCTATACAACTCCATGCAACCCAGCCAGATGGGCGGGGTATAAATAATAAAATTGTTGTTGTTGTTGTTGTTCACTATGACCTACTGAAGGGGTCAGTAGTAGTAGAGCATACAGGTAGGTAAAAAAAAAGTAAAAGACCCCGGACGGTTAAGTCCAGACAAAGGTGACTATGGGGCTGCGGTGCTCATCTCACTTTGTCTTGCATTTGTCCACAGACAGCTTTCTGGGTCATGTGGCCAGCATGAATAAACCACTTCTGGTGCAACGGAACACCATGAGAGAAACGGAAATGCTGCTTACCTTCCGCCGTAGCGGTACCTATTTATCTGCTTGCACTGGTGTGCTTTTGAACTGCTAGGTTGGCAGAAGTTGGGACAGAACAACGGGAGCTCACCCCATCACACAGATTTGAACCGCCGACCTTCCGATCAGCAAGCCCAGGAGGCTCAGTTGTTTAGATCACAGTGCCATCCAGTTCCAGGTTCATCCTCAGACATATCCAGATCGGTTTGGCAAAGCCTTCTGCCTGAAAACTCTGGATAGTTGCTGCTATAGTCAGTGTTGACAATACTGAGCTAGAGCTTCCTATGTTTCTATGCTACATTACAGTTTCTCCCAAAAAAATGACCCCAAAGTTAGGTTTGTTTTATTCCTGCCACTCAAAATTTGGATTTTAGCTTATTTCTTTCCTTTTTCTTAACTTTAGAATCACACGGTACAATTTCCCACAATCTGCAACCCATTGAGACGTATTTAAGTGTGTTTCATCCCATTGAATGCTCATTGGATACACAGTCTTTGGAACCCAGGTTTAAATCCCCATTGATCTAGGTCTTCAGAAAAGGTACCTCTTGTAATTATAGTACTACACCAGGAACCAAGGTATGAGACCCTGCAGGCATGTCCAAACTCCGTTTCAGGGGCCTAATCCGGCCCGCCGGTCGATTTAATCTGTGGCAGTATATGTCCTGGGGCAAAATCCCAAAAAAAGCTCAGTGGCGCTGTGGGTTAAACCACAGAGTCTAGGACTTGCCGATCAGAAGGTCGGCGGTTCGAATCCCTGCGACAGGGTGAGTTCCCGTTGTTCGGTCCCTGCTCCTGCCAACCTAGCAGTTCGAAAGCACATTAAAGTGCAAGTAGATAAATAGGTACCGCTCTGGTGGGAAGGTCATCGGTGTTTCCGTGCACTGCTCTGGTTCGCCAGAAGCGGCTTAGTCATGCTGGCCACATGACCCGGAAGCTGTACGCCGGCTCCCTCGGCCAATAAAGCGAGATGAGCGTTGCAACCCCAGAGTCAGGACATAGTAACGACTGGACCTAATGGTCAGGGGTCCCTTTACCTTTACCTTCAATCCTAAAAGAAGCTCAACAACTTCAATCCTAAAAAAGCTCAACAACTTTGGTCGGCTCTTACGCATGTTCACTTCATCAAATCTGGCCCTCTTTGAAAAACATTTGGGCATCCCTGTGGAACTCTTAATCTCTCCTGGGCAGCCTTCAGTTAGCCACTGTCTCTCAGACCCCACCTATCTACCAGGATTGTTGTGAGGATAACAAATGGATCCGATGCATTTTAATCTTTACTCAGAAGTCAGCTCTCAGGGTATTGTCCTTATTTCAGTCGACTGACTTCCTGCTAGCTGGAAAATATGTTTCGTGGAGCTGAGCTGCACAACTGCTATCCTAAGGGCAGTTATTCCTGGAAGTGCACAGTCAAATCAGAGCAACCACGCTTGAGATGTGGGTGTGAAATCACCACTCTGATCTCCTTTGAGAGTATGAAAAGGTGTGATACACATCTCCAGTTTAGAGGAGAAGATGGGATTGCAGCAATTTTAAGGGCATTCTGGTGAGAAACAACCCCCCCAAAGTAGGGCTTCCAGGAAACCCCTTCCCCAGCCAGTGGTGTTGTGGGGGGCATGGTCACAGGCACAAAATTCTAAGGGGGCACAACCAGGCACCCCATGTAGGCATCGGCTTCCACAGGGACCCACACCTCACCCTGGCAAAGGTGGCAGCTCAGGTCCACTTTGCAACCAACAACAAGGTCTAGGTAACAACTGTTTTCTTCTTTGATGGGGCTGTTCCACCTTCACAACATCTGTGCTGCTGACTCTCGAACTTTTGTTGAAAGACATACAACAAAAAATTAATCAGTTTGAGTCATGCAACTCAAATTGGATCTACTAGGACCAATTTTTTTAAGCAACATGGACAAAAGTCACTTCTGGGGGCCCTCCAGGATTAGGTGCCTTGAAGCTTTACTAGTTTCATAGCATAGTATATCCACCCCTGACCGTAATACCTCAAGGATTGGCTCTCCCCATATGAACCGATCTGGACCCTGTGATATCATCGGAGGCCCTCCTTTGTGTGCCTCCTCCACAAGAGATCTGTAGCGTGGCCACACGAGAATAGGCCTTTTCTATGGTGGAATGTTCTCCTAGCATCTTGGTTACATATCTTTAGGCACCAGGCAAAAACATTCCTCTAATCCCAGGCCTTTGGCTAATTAAACAAGTGATGGCCTGTTTGTGGGGGGTATTGATTTTGCATGTTACTATGATATGCATTTTTGTGTATTTATATTGTAAACTGCCATGTAATCCTTGAGAGGTATAGAAATTTAATTATCATCAACAACATTTTCATATTTGCAGGTATGATTACGCTGATTTGCTTTTTTCTCTTTTTCTCTAGTTCTATAGGGTATTTTAAATCGCAACATTCTTTGTGTATGTTAATATTCCATGTGTGTTTCTAAAACAGAGCGCTGAAGAACGCAGAATTGTTTAGTTATGTTAAGGTTGATTTGATTAAAGAATAGTAAACTGTAGTGACTATGTCTCCAGATTTTTTCATTTGCTTGTTATAAAGTTTTTTTCATATAACTAATTCATACTTTTCTGTTTTATGGTATTTTTTTATCATTGGATCCCAAATTGTTTTTGTTTTTTATTTAAAACATTATATATATATATATTTATAAACATAGAATAAAGGGGTCTCTGACTGGTAGTGAGCAATTTGTATGACTCCAAGACCACCACTCCTATTCCAGCTACCTCCTGCTAGAAACACTCAGGTTCTTTCCATCTCCACTGTGGTGCCCTGTGCACTGTGGGGGCCAAAGTCCAGGTAATCATCTAAAGAGAGCCACACCCTCAATAGTCAGAGCTTTGGCCCTCTAGATGCTGCTGACCTCCAACTCCCATCAGCCAACAGGGCACCTGGACAAGGATGAAGGGAGTTGCAGTCTAACCTTCCCGGAACTGCAACACAAACATTTCTTTTCTTTTCTCAACTCACTGGAGCCTCTAGGATCTCGGCCTACGCCCTGTTCCCTAGGCAGGAAATCTTGGGTGCAGCCATCTTCACAAGACCGCTCACTGCGCGCAATGCTTTGCGCATACTAACTTCCCATCCAAGGTGTCACATCCTGAAGCAGTCGCGTAAAGGCGCGAAAAGAAAGAGTTTGGCGGATGACACGTTTGGAAATAATGTCCCACTGATTTAGAACCGAGATGCCAATTATCTGATTTCTGCTTTAACCGGCTGTGGATAGGGAGGAGGAAAATAAAATTCGGGCTTCCACAGCCTCTGCCTGCCCTGCAACCCCCCAGGGCCTCGTTGAGTCGATCTCGGGTCTTGTAAACAGTTTGCGGCCGGCTCAGTAAAAAAGTGTGGTCTGATAAAAACGTTCTTTTCCTCCCTCTCTCTCCTGCAGAGATTAGGAAGCCTTTGGGGGGTGGGAGAAGGGGACGCGTTAGCACTTCAGTCCTCGGCCCAGAAAGGAAAAGAAGCGCATTCTGGCCGCCGTTTGCTCCGGCTAAATCTAACATCGCAAAGATGGGAATGGAAAAAATATATTTGCGTTGGGGTCCCTTCCTCAGATCTCGGCTAGGGCTAAACCCTTTTCCTCCCCGTCCATTCTGAAGTGTCTACATATATACTGAAATACATTCCAACCTACAGTAGCAAACGAGAGGCATTTTCTTTTCTTGAATCAGGAGCGGAAATGCCCTCCGTGGCTCGTGGCACGCAAATATTTCCTTCATCCGGCAACACCTCGGCGGCTACACACACTACTGGGGCCGGAGGAGGGGAGCGGAATTGGCTTCAGTTGCCCTGGCTTCCCAACAAATAAGACCACGATCCTAAACCCGCTTATTTGAGCTCCATCGGAAGCGGGAAGGAAGCGAGGAGAAAATATCTACCTCTAAATAAGTATGCTGGCGTCATTTCGATGGAATCCGACTGCCAGGTAAACACGTTTAGGTTTGCAGCCTAACACTTCGATGCTAAATTGCGCGATCCTAAACCCGTTGACTCAGAAGTACACCCCACCGCATTTCAAGAGAACTTTTTTAGTAAGGGAGTTTAGGGTAGCAGCCGTAGTTTCTGAGAGGCTGGATTAAGTGCGAAAGCCACCGAGTTCCGACAAAGTTTGTTTAACAGAAGGAGATCGCTGTAAGGGAGTTTATTTGAAATAAATCAACAACCAGCCCCGATGATCGGCACGCGCGTTTGCTCAGAAGACGCTCCTGCGGAATTCACTGAGACTAAGCGTGCGCAAGACTGCAGCCGAAGAGTCTTGTGGCAACTGGAAGACTCGCAGTTCGCTTTTTCTGCAGCGTGGATAGGAGAGAGCCTGTTTCCTTGGATGCAGGAAGCGGACGAATCGTCTTTACGCTGGACACTCCACGCCATCTAAGAAGCAGCTTCTCCGCGGCCGAAAATTAAGCCACCATAAAATGGTTAGGCTCCCAGGTGCCACAAGTCTCGGAAAGAAGCGGAGGAGGGTCGTCTTCTAGAATTGAGAACCACAAGCGGCTTCCTTATTAGGGCAGAAAAGCGCCCCATCGAGGCTCTGCTAATACTTTATCTGAAACCCTGCACTGTGCTGTAGTTTTATCTGGTAGATTCTTAGCCCTAACAATTCAGTGGTATCACTAGATCGTTAGGCTATTAGTCCAACTCTAACCACCCTGAACGCTTCCAATTCCTGGAGAATATACTTTCCCCTCCTTTTTCTACCGCAAGCCATTTTGCGGAAACCATCCCATTTTCACGAAGCGATGCAGTTTGGAGGGTTCTTGGGTCTCTCCCACCCCCGCACGGCTTCCTTTGCAACAAAATGCATTTTAACCCCTTTCTTCAGTATTGCTGTGTCCTTGCTCAGACTACCCGCTCGATTTGGGAAACGACCGAGCCCTGCAAGCACCCACCCCATTGAAGTCAAATGGGCTGCTGGATTATGTGGATAGGTTGTGGGCTGCGTGTAAATATGTAGCATGCTGACCTTCTCCTTGGCAACATATTATCTTTAAATTGGGTTTTCCCGTCGCGATTCAGATCTTTTCACATTCATTAGATCGCTAACCCTGTAAGGCAGGTCACTACATTATCATTTCCATTTTACAGATTTGGGGCTATGGATGGGTGAGGACTGAGATATATTGGTTTGCCTAAGACCAGCCAAATCCTACCGGGGAAATTCCAGGACTAGGCTCAAACCCACCGCTGTTAGGCTACGATCTATGCCTATTTACCTTGGAGCAAGCCATATTGCACCCGATTGCGTTTACTTCGGAGTAGACATGAGCAGAAACCTGCTGTTAAGCACTATGATGCGCCGGCCTTTCTTCACTTAAATGCAGATGAAGGTTTAAACAATCCACATCAACGCATTTTGTATTGTACCTGGATATTTCAGAATACATAGGACATCCACGTTGTATTACACGCCTCTTGAAACATTATTTAATAAAGTTACGCGTTTATATAAATGTAACCCTTTAAAAGCTCGATTTAAAACTCAAGATACATCCAAGCGTTTAAGCAGACTTGTTTCCACTGAAGTCAATGAGGAGACTTCGACTCAAATCCAAGCGTGTTCGGGCTGCAATCCTGTTCACACTCGCACGGGGGACAATTCCCACTGAATTCAATAGCTCTTACCACTGAGCAGACACATACAGGACGGCGCTGTTCATAAAGCTGAGGACATGCGGGTGATTCAGTATGGATGCACAGCCTAATTATTTAAGAAAGCGGCACACCACTCCTAAGCAAAGTTTCGCAACAATCAGCAGTAATTGCTAATTGACAATAATTGCTGCCAACCTTAACTACCTTTATTTGCAAGCAAGACCTACTGTTCACCACATAAGAACACAAGACGAGCTTGCAGGATCAGGCCAAAGGCCCATGTAATCCAGTATCGGGTTCTCACAGTGGCCAACCAGATGCCTATGGGAAACGAGGGAGCAGAACATGAGCACAAGAGTAACTCCCTCCTTTCCAGCAACGGGTATTTGCAAGCACTGCTGCCAAGAACTGTGGAGGTAGAGCATAACCATTGTAGCTAGTACCCCTCTCCACCAAATCTCCTTTTAAAGCTATCCAAGTTGGTGGTTAATCTCTGCCCCCTGGGGAAGTGGATCCCATAGGATTCTCTGTGCGCTGCGTGAAGATGTACTTTCCTTGATCTGTCTCAAATCTCCCAAAATTCAGCTTCATTGGATGTCAACCAGTTGCAGTATTATGAGAGATTATTATTATTATTATTAGTCTATCCGCTTTCTTCATGCCATATGTAATTTTTTTAAAAGACGAACTCTGATCTCATGGCATGGTTTTGGTATTTTAATGCCTACTTTGATAGTAGATTTCATAAAATCATAGAAGGGACTCCGAGGATCATCAAGTCCAACCCCCTGCAATGCAGGAATAGGCAGCTGTCCCGTACCAGGATCGAACCAGCAACCTTTGCATTGTGAGCACCATGCTCTAACCAACTGAGCTATCCAGGTATGATGTTTTCTGGTTGCATGCTGTGAACACAGATGGTTCGGAATAAAAGTACAACTAGCTAATAAATAAAATGTGTACTCGGAGGTAAGTCCCGTCGTTGTCAGGATAGCTAACTCCCGGGGTAAGTGCCCAAAAGAAGGCTGCCTTACTTTACTCCCAAGTAAGCCTTCACTCTTAAACACCTTCCATAGAGAGTTAATCTCGCACTGAACCCAGTGGGACTGAGTCTTCTTAAAGACTGGTTTAAAATTGGGCTGTAAAATCATATTATCCCCACTGGCTGTAGCGGAATTAACTCTAGGACTGTTATCCTAAGCGTCACTTGTAATGATGGCAACGTTCTCTTCCAGGTAAAGGAAAATACGTTAATGCCTGACATCAGCCTTCGCCAGTCCCGTACTTTCCAGATGTTGTTGGATTATAACTCTCAGCCAGGATTGCACAAGCATTGCATCTGGTGGGCACCAGGTTGAGGAAGATTGTTAGCAGTCTCCATAGATAACCCAGTGGCGGAGGGCTTAATGCCCTGTGATCACACCTATAGGCGCGCAGCGTTACTCAGCTGGGAATCAAACTGCAGACGTCCAGGCGAAGCTAAAGCTATAGCTATGGGCACGGCAGGGTGGTATTGGGGAAAGGGGACATTTGTCCCATTTTCATCTGGAAAAACGGAGATCGCTCGGTAAGGGGGACCACCCTGCTTGCGGGACGCTGCCGTCTGTTAAAGAGGATTCAGTATCCTGTTCAAGATGCTAATTCTCTTCCACCTCAGCGAGAGAGAGCGCCTATGATGTGTTCCTCCGATTAGCAGTAAATGGGCATCTTTCATCTCACCAACCCTAGACTGGCCAGGCGAGTCTCTCCGCTTTCCACCCGCGGGAGAAAATAAGCTTATGCCAACCAAGCGAAATGGATGGAGGCCGCGAACCGAATCGAGTCAGACCGCCTGCCTTGAACTCCGCTCGGCTACTTTACCTGAGCCATTAACAGTTTCAAAATGTGTGTGTTTTCCACTGAGGCAGCAGCATTATGACAATTAAGTCGCAAGGACTTAGAACTCAGAGGGACTTATTTTCGACAGGGGGCAACGGATCTAGGATCGGGTTAAACGTTCTGCGCAGAACGTCTAGCCCGATCCTAGACCTATTGACCCCCATCGAAAATAAACGCACACGCACTAGTCTTGACCCAGACGTAAATTCCTCCCGGACCTCTAGATTCAACTGCTGCCAGTTACTCATATAAACATAATATTTGGGAATGGGAAAAACTGGCTTCAAGGACACTGGCGTACACGCGTTGTAGCCACCAGAAGCGCATTTTCTGGAGAAGGCGACCCTGAATTTTGTCATGGGAAAGAGATGTTACCTTTAGCAGGTTCTAGTAAAATCAAGCTCCTGGTTAGGCGCTTTGGGAGACGGAGTTGCGTAGCGGCGGTGGTTTGGGGTGAGATTAAACTGCATTTTAATTCACAGAGGTTTACTAACAGCTGTCAGATTTGCAACCTGTCTCTCAAACAAGTGCCCAACGCCCCAAAGGCCGCTTATTCATTAGAAAAGGCAGGGCACCCTGTCCCTAGATACCCGCGCAAAATGGCGATCTTCTTCCCAGTCAAGACCAGCAAAGGTAGATATTCTCAGAATTTGGACCCACGCAGTGACAAACGCGCGCTGCAGGAAGCTCCTTTCAACTCCGCGGGGCGGAAAGGATTGTCCCGCAGCTCGGAGCCCCGCCTGCAACCCAGGCAGAATCTGCTCAAGAGAAACTAGCGACTTTTTTTTTTTTGCAACAGGTCGGTGCATAAATGATAAAAACAGACGACTTGGATTCAAAGCGATTTTCAGCCCTGTTAAAGACAGCAGGGATTGCAATCACCTTGGCGCTTGGGTTTCAAGTACGCAGGAATTTGGATTTAAACCTTACTTCACCTCCGCTTCCCAAGTGTTCGGGAACGTGGTGCTAATTTCGAATAAAAGCTGCGATGGCATCAATGCACGCACTTATTGGGGAGTAAGCCCGGTGGTGGGGTGCCTCCCGGTGAAGGCACGCATGGGATCCGGCTGCCTTTGGGGTTGTGGGTGGCCCTTATTGGACCTCCAGACGAAGTTCACTTTTGCATGCAAAATCCAGCCGGCCACCTCTAAAGTGGAACCCAGATTCTCCGGCGAGTTTTCCAAGAGAGTGGTTTCTGGATGGCCGCCTCAGAGTACAGTAGAAGGGAGAGAGAGCGCCGGTCCAACCAGATGATATCTGCTTTATTAGGCCCACATGTGGGTGGAAGCAGAGGGAGCCGCGACTATGTTTTGGATTTTCTACCAACGCTAGCTCACCAGAAAATACCTTTGAACTCACTTATGGCGCAGGAGGGTGCCAAAAGTGAATTCAGCCGGCCCGCGGAAGACTTGCACATCAAAGGTGCGCGTCCGGGTCCTCCCGGTATTCGGCTGCTTGGCTCTTTCACACGTGTTAATTGTACAAGGGCTGACACTTGCCCTCTCTGGCTGTGTGAGTGGGTTTCGAAATTGCTGCGAGCTTTCTGTTGCGAGGAATTAGATTGGGCTTTTTCGGCTCACCCGTCCTTCTAGACCCGTTAACTGGCCTCCAGATTTGTTTTTAAAGCCATATTATATTCTCTATTTCAGGCCGGTTTAACAAGGTTCTGAAGTTATTTTCCGTCGGCTCCCCTAACCCAGTTTCTAAATATGTTTTTTTTGGGGGGGGGGAACCCTCTCAAGCTAGTTAGTTACACAATAGGAGATTAGGGAAAGTGCCCCTCAGCAAAACAAAAGACTCCCTCGAAATCAGAGGGGATGACTTCTCGGCCAAAGATTTTAGGGTCGCGGTGCGCGGCTGCAACGTACAAGCGTCCGCTTGGGAGCACTGACAGCCCCACGGCTTCACACAGAGAATTTACTGAGAAATCCATCCTGTTCGATGGGACCCATGTCCCAGTACGAACTACAAGGGAGGGGTGACAGGACGCTAGTAGCGGTGGGTGGCCTCCCGGAACTCCAAACCACCACCCACTTACTCCAGAGTAGTACTATCTGAGTTGCTAGGCTATCACAACAACATGGGCTACCTTAATCCGCCGACAGAGCTAACAATACCGTGGCAGCTCGGGTGCTGCCGGCAAGTCCACGTTAAACAGGCTTCCTATAATGCGTTTAAGGCCTAAGCTAGCAGTGCCCAACTTTTCGGCTCTTCTCTCTGGCGTAGAGATTCTATTCGGTTCTGTCTCAATGTGGTTCAATGCCTGCAGCCTTCAGAATTCCTTTGGAGCTAGTTCGGTTCGTTTTCCACCACTAATTTCATATCCCCTCGAAACAGGATGGATAAACCTTTACGGGTTTGTGTACGAGGCTGATTTACTCAGGGAGAAAATCCATGCTGTTAGGAATAGCGCAACTGCGTGTGTATTTATTTACTCAGAGTTAAGGCCCCCAGGTCGGACTGATCCGATTCAGCCATAGGGCCGCAATTTCGGACCTGTGCTACGATCGAAAAGCTGCCCATTTATTCTAGGATAGCCCTCTCTTAACGCCAATTCGTTGCTCCTTAAGAGTCAGCTACTGAACAACTATTTCCATCTCGGAAGATAGTTTCATAAGAGGAATTAAAACATAATGCAACATCCGCCGATTTTTCTTCCACATCATAGTGTTCTGACTTAGAGGAACACTCTTGTGTTCACAGCTTATTAGTAATTGATGGGACGCGTTTGCATTGATTAATATGAAATTATTATCGCATATTTCTGTCCCACAGTTCATTATTATCCTTCCATCTACTATCTGGAATCTGCCCCATCCCTCTTACTTTCACTGAAGCAATGGAATGAAAGGGAACTTGTATCCGGATAGATAAGCAGCCACTTTAACGTGAACAGAAACTCCTGAGATTTATTTCCCTTGAAAATGTGCCGTTTCTGAACAATGCGGGGTACGTCTGTGTGCTCCTGGCCCAACGCATTTTGAAAACCCTGGCTTTCTCTCCAGCTTGTATCCTCAGTGAATTCAAGGGCTTGTCAAAGTGAGAAAGAGATTTACAGCTGGCCGCAGGAAACGTGTTAATTCTGATCATCACCAAGGGTTAAAATCACTGATGATTGTGGCTTTAGCCACCCACTCACCGGCCCCAGGGGCAAAGAAGTTCGCTTTTATAGAGTTGGGAGCCTACTGGGACCATTCTACAAGCAAGCAGCTTTTTCCAACAGTGCTGCGCGAAGTTACTTACTACCTTTCCTCCACTTTAAACTACTACACTGGTGCGGAGTCCCATTGTAAAGAGTAGAATTGCCGGCAACAGCGCGGAAACTCGGGCTGGGTAGGAAGAATTTAACTCATGCAGCTCAATCCCACGCGCTGGAAGTTGAGGAGCACCGATTCGAATGCGACTTACACCCAGGTAAGTGAATTTAGGATTGCAGCGTTTAATTTTGATTCCCACCAGGAGTTCGTGTGTTCGCGATAAGGTATTAAACGTGGTTAATTTTGCTGGCGAGGAAGGACCTGATGGTCTTGAAAAGTGTTAAGGTGTATTTGTTCAATATGCATTAGAGATATTTACTAGCAGAATTAATATCTCCCCCTTTTTAGTATTGTTTGAGTGCTTTCTTCCTGCACGGAGAAACGGCTCACTCAACACGTTTCTGTTACATAACTATGTAGCCAAGATTGCAGTCCAACACTGATTCATTAAAGTATTCCCTATTGAATTCAATGGCACTTACTTCCAAGTAGATAAGGATGGGGCCGCGAAGTAAATTAAAGTTGAGAAAACTACATATATTTTCCCGGGAAGCGGAAAAGAGTCAGTCAGAATAGGAAGTTGGCCTGATTGCGAAAAGGAACGAAGGAAGGTCCAGCTTTCTCCTGTTCCATTTACTTTAAAACTCTGCTCCATTTCTTCCAAATCAAGTTTCCCAAGGAAGTGGCCTGGGAGAAAAGCCGAAGCAAAGCGATTTAGCTTTGGCGGGGCAACCCAGTGTTGCTCTCGAGTAAAACTAGTTCCTTGGGGGGGGGCGCGGGGAGTCAACTGGTTGGGACCTGTGTGTTCCTGCTTTTCCGATAGCATTATACGAACGAAACGGCGAAAAGTTAAGATTGCTGTTTTACAAAGAGAATAAAGCGCCACGTTCTAGTTTCATTGCCATCTCCCTTCGCCTTAGGTGAACCTCAAGGCCGGTGGCGCTTTCCCCCGCGGCCTGATCCTCTGCGCGTTTACTCGGGAGCAAGTGCTCGCTAAATTCAAGGCTGCTTAGGCGACAAAAGCGCCTTTGTGCGCGTCTCAGCGCCGCGCAGTTTGGCCTGGAATGGTTAAGCAAATTTAGGAAGAGTCCGGCACCCCACCGCCCCTCCCCTGGTGCCCAGATCAGAAATCTTTTTCAGCAGGGGGTGAGGGAGCCAGGAGGAAGTACTTACTCGTACCTTTCTTTGGCCTCGGCCGCCCGGTCCCTCTGCCTCCGGTTCTTGAACCAGTTGCTGACTTGCGTGGTGGTCAGCCCGGTGGCTTCGGCCAGCTCCCTCTTCTCCCGAGGGGACGGGTAAGGGTTGTGCGCGTACCATTCCCGCAGCACGCTGCGGCTCTTCTCCTTGAAGCAGTAGCTGGTCTCCTCGCCGTCCCAGATGGAGCGGGGCAAGGGGAACTTGCGGCGGACCCGGTACTTGCCGACCGCCCCTAGGGGTCGCCCCCGCAGCTTCTCGGCCTCGATGTAGTGCGCCTTGAGCCACAGTTGCTGCAGCTTGGGGTGGTTGTGCGCCGAGAACTGGTGGCTCTCCAGGATCTTGTAGAGCTCGCGGAAGTTGCCCCGGTGGAAAGCCACCACGGCCTTGGCCTTCAGCACGCTCTCGTTCTTGTGCAGGTGCTCGCAAGCCGGCAGCGACCACAGGAAGCGGCCCAGCCTCTCGATGTTGCCACCTTGCTGGAGAACCTCGCAGACGCACGCCACTTGCTCCTGGGTGAAGCCAAACGTGGGCAGCATGGACATGGTGGCGGGCGCCCGGGAGAGGCCCTGTTCCTCCTGCCACCGCCGCCTCTTAGCGCATCTGCCCTGGCCGAAAGGGGGCAGCCGCTCGGGGTGGGGTAGGGTGGGTGGGTAGGTGGGGGGCGACGCGGCCGAGCGCCCCGCAGGCACCGCCTGGGGGGCAGAACTGGCGGCGGAGGGTCGTGCGGGGGAGGGGGGTGTCCGGGACGCGCGCGCGCGACAGCCGGCACCAATGGAGAGAGGGCTTCGCAAGGGGCCAGCCAACCACAGAGCGCCGGGGCTAACTTACTTACAAATGGAGCCCTCGGGCTTAGGTCAGCGCTGGCGGGGCCGCTGCGCCGGCGCCCCTGGAGCTTAGAGAATCTTCGCGCGCGGGGGAGGATCAAAGGCAGAGCGAGGCGAGCGCTCACTTTCACCTCTTCTCGCTTGCTCTCCTCCTGCCTCTTCGGCTTTTGACCGCCCGCTTGGTTTGTAAGTCCCGGAGTTCCGATCAGCAAACTTTGCGGCTCTATTGTGTGAGAGGCTGCGGCGCTCGTAACAGTGGAACTTTCGCTCTCCCCACCCCCTGGCCGGGCTTGCGAGTTCCACTCTCCTCTCTCTCTCCTCTTCTCTCTCTCTCTTCCTCCCTCCCCCCTCCCCGCTTTCAGCGATAGGATCTCTTACATGTAATCCAGTACTTTAAAAAGTCCTGCTCCCCTCTTCCTCCTTCCTCCTCTTCTTCGTCTCCTCGCTCTCCTCCTCTTCTCTTCTTGCCGGGTCTTCTCTCTCCCTCTCTCTTTTTTCCTTTTCTTCCTCCTTCCCCTCCCCCTCTTCTTCCCCTCCCTCTCTCTTCGCCTCCCTCTCTCTCTCTCTTTCCTCCCCCCCTCCAAATAATATTATTCTAAACTGGCATGAAAAAGTGATTAGCCGCGCTGTGATTGGTCCAGTTATTTGACCCGGGGACTGCCAAGGAGAAGACAATTGTTTTAATCAAATTATTTGCCATGGTGACGCTGTCAATCAAAAGTAACCCGATCTGTTTTGAGGTGGCTCCCCGGCTCGGTTGACAGATTGCTTTGAGCCACTCGGAGGAGGGCTTTTTTAGAGTTGGGAGATTACTAAGAAGTGGAAGATGCCTGGTTTGGGGGGGGGGGAGAAAAAGCAGAGCGGGTGGGGAGAGAAATAAATGTCTGCTGTGATTGACGTTGCAAAACACGGAAAGAGGGGGGAGTCCCACCGAGGCCTGACCGCTGACTGACAGCGGGGGCGCTACAGCACCGACAGGTCTCCCAATCCTACCGTTTCGACTTCTAGTTTGATGCTTTTCACTTCGAAACAATCTCAAATTTGGAGGAAAGGGGTGTGTGGGTGTGTGCATAGCCTCTTAAAATTTTGGAAAATCTTACTGGAAGCTTCCGTGTGGATGAAGACTTCCAAACTTTTGCAGCGGTCATCTTTCCTACGGTCCCTCCACCCTGTAGTAAGTTATGAAAACGAAAGTACCAACAGTATTCAAAGCGTTTACACTGCCTCTTCCTTGATCCTAGAACATTCATTGGGAGTAATTGAACTGCATTAAAAAACCCCTCAAACGCCCAGGCTTATAACCCGTTCGCTTTTACCAGTCATTGACTGTCCTGCGTTGTTGTTCTTTCAAATTCAGTGTAAAAGACTTAATGCTCGGGTTTTAAGGAAAATTTAATTCGCTGTCACCCCAACTGCAGCTTAACTGGAATGTTGATGCATCTGTAGCGGGGCGCATCCATTCTTAATGACGCACATTTCTTTTATTGAATGAAGCAGATTGACCCGATGACAAGCAGATTTAATTTCAGTGTAATTTTCTTCTTAGGAGGGGAGGTATGCAGCCTAACACGGAAACTCTAAAACCGATTTACGCTCTAGTCCTGTGTCCACTTAACTTGGCAAGTATTTAGTATAGCTCTCTGCCGGGGGCGGTGGAGGGGGAGCTTAGAGGGAGTGACTTGGTGAATAAGTTTAAACAGAAAACACACTTTATTGGGAAATAGTCTCCTGTGTTTGGAACCGGGATGTCTGTTATAGTTAGAAAAAGTATATTTTGGTTATATCTTAATATTGCATATTTGCCTCCCCACCCCCTCCACCTCCCTATCTATCTACCCCATCTTAGATAGAAGAATCCCACCGAAAAACACCTAGTCTTCAGAATAGGGATTCTATCCAGGCACACTTTGCTTATAATCGGCGGGCCGTTTATTAAGATAGAGAGATATGAGCGTCTATTTCCTCTCCCTCGTTTTATTCCTCGGCATCTGTTAATTCCACCTCTTCGCTCCAAATAGAAAATGTAGTGAAGGCGATAGAGAGAGGGAGATCAAGAGGAAAGGAGATCGGCAGCCGTGTTCGGCTTCACGTGTGCGCCAGAGGCAGTTTCAATGCCTGAGCTCAAAGTTCTGGGTGCCTTTTGGGGACGCATTTTGCCCGAGATCTGCAGCTCGCATTAGTTCGTCCCATCTCAGCCAGGCCAACCCTCAGCCCCGCAAACGCTCCGCAAATTATCTCGCTAGTCCCAATTTCCTCGGTCTCCTACAAGGAGGGTCAACTTTCCCTCATCCTGACTAGTGCAGACGGAGGCAGATCCATAGTGCTCAGTCTTCAAAACCGTCTCGAAGCCGCATTCTCTGGAATGCCAAGGCCTTGGCCGCGCGCACAGTTGGTCGCAATTACCGGAGGAAGGAAAAGTATTCTGCGTATGCTCCACGGAACTCTTGTCAAATAACTGTAGGATCGTAAGCAGGTGAAGACCGGCGAGGAGCTCTCGTACATTCACAGGACCACCACTTCTGAAGCCATTGAGCTATTACCCCTTTCTTTTTCCAGCCCGGACCGTGGGAAGGACCGTGGGAAACCCAACGACCCCTCTCAGAAGCGCCGGGGCATCCCCTGCGCGGTGATCCTACACAGCACGAGCGGCAACTCAGCAAGTTCCACCCTGCGGGTCTCTCTGAAGCGCTTTCTCGGCGAGACAGCAGCGTGAGGCCTCCGGCGCGCACACGCCTCCAGAACTCTGGGTCAAGTTGGGAGGAGGGGAGATCAGCTCGGAGCTGGTGCCTCGCGGGAAAGTGGCCACTTGGGAACTCCGGAGTTCTGCTGGAAGTGGAACTGAAAGGAATCATCAGGATCCGCGGCTGGGAAGCCCGGGCTTCGCGCGGAGAAGCTTGAATGGGGCGTGGATGGAACGTTGCTCAGAAGAGGAAAAGAAGTGGAACCTTCGTTCATTCATTCATTGACTGATTTCACCAACAGCTTGAGATTTTCTTTCCCGCGGTTCTTCTCATCTTCTTTCTTCTTTCTCTGGGCATAAACTCCGCTAGACCTGTGAAAGAGTTTTAGATCTTGCTGGGAAAACTCGACTTCTTTTTAAAGAGCTCAGTAACCCCGGAAGGCTACAATAAAAACAAAAACAGGGGAGGGTTTTTTTTCCTCTTGACTGCAGCTGAAACAGAGGACTAAATCGGTGGCTCGCTCGGTTTAAAACCTACTGTTTGTTGTTCTCTGCAGTCCTTAGAGCCAGACCAACTTCAGGCTGGTAATTATCTCGCTGACTTAACGGGATTTCTTCCGGCATGACTGCTGCCTGCGCCTCCAACGGTGTGCGGTCAGTACCTTGACCTTGAACGCACATTCCCTCAAAAGGTCATGTCGACTTCAGAGCAATATACCTTATCTAAATAATGGATTTCAGATCTGGGTGCAGGAAGTGCGCGCAGACGAAGCTGAAGTACGCAATCCGCTTCCCGTTGATCCGTGGAGCGGGTGGGGGAATTTTCAAAACAAAAACATCTCCCTGTGTCTCTAATAAATCTAGATTGCAATCCTCACTGCAGCGCAAACACGGGATTCGGTGAGCTTTACTTCCAAGTAAGTGTGCATAGGATGGCAGCCTAACAGTCCAGAACTATACAGTGTTACTCAGGTGTCAGGCCTCTGAAATTCCTCTGGGCTTGCCCTCGAGTAAATAGGTTTAGGACTGCAGCCGAAGGCTTTCACATTGTCCTGAGAGGACTTAGCAGCCAAATAAACATGCATAAACTGGGCTGCAAGTGGAATTTGAATGTAGACCAAGTCAAAAAAAGAAAAGGGATATTTTTTTTTTAAAAAAGAGAGAGACAGAGAGACAGGAAAAGATTGGACATTTATCCCAAATACGTTTCTATATGCGACGTTATAACAACTGGCTGGTTCCTATTCTGCAAGCTCAGTACCCGGTTCCACCATATATTATGACAGATGTTCCCTGACACAGCATTAATGGAAAGATGTGACCAAGGCACGTTTCCATGGGCACTTTTGAATAAAGATGTTTAAATGGGTCATGAGGCACGTCTCATGAAAATTCAGGAGACTATTTTTATTATTATTATTTGTGAAACATTTCTGTCTTGCCTTTCCCAAACTGGAGACGGCTTACCGAAAACAACAGCCGGCCACTAAAAATGAGTTTAAATACAATCAATAAATTCAAGAAGAAGAAACAAAGAGCCTTCGTGTTCCTCCGAGTGCACTTTGATTTTGAGTAAATCGGGCTGCTAAGCCAAAAATGAAGGGTGGGCCCTATATTACATTACATTAATGAGTTGAATGGGGCATGTGTTAATATACAGGACTTCAGCCTAAGCTAGGAATCAGGAAGTCCCCGGTTGCAATCTGGCCTCTGCGATGAGTTTGCTATGAGGTGGCCTTAGTTAGGCCTGCCAAGCAACTCTGCTTTAGCCCCAGCAGTCTATCTGCCGCCTGGGGATAATAACACCCACCTTGCAGGGTTGTTTGTAAGGATTTGGAAAATGGGAATGTGAGCGAATTGCTTTGAGCAGTTGAATCCATGATAGAAATGCTGTTTTTGTTGTTGCTTTTATTTATTCATTTGTTATTTTTTAAATAGCAGAGCTCCTAGTTGAAGCAGGATGCCCTCTGAGCGAAAGGACATGTCTTTTAGGAATTGTTGTTAAAACTGTGGTTAATGGTCCAGGAAGGAATGTCTCTGTCTGTCTGTCTGTCTGTCTGTCTCTCTCTCTCTCTCTCTCTCTCTCTCTCTCACACACACACACCCCCCTTGTAGATTACTTGGATCGAGCCGAACCTTGTTCGAATCTGAAAACCTCAGCAGCTGGAAACGGGAACCCGAGTAGATCGGGTTGGGGGTTGGGTTGAAAACAGCAGCTGCTGGCCTCTGCCGGAAGGAGACGCCAGGACCTGTTCTGAGGACTGATCTAAGGATCTCTCTCCTCCAGCACCCTGGGAAAAACCTGAGTCCGCAAAACGAGGCCAAGGGAAGAAAAGTTTTGGACATATCTTTACACTTAAGCCTGACAGAGCTCCCCCTCCCCCCGCCCCTTTGGTGAAGTTCAGAACTTTGGTGTAAGCCCAAGAGTCAATAAAGTCATCCTAGCATAGACTGGCTGGGAGCAGACTGAAGATGCACGCCGCTGGTTTTGGAGGGGCCTGCAGAAAATGTCCGTAAGGGAGGAAATCTGCATGGATAGATGATGGAAAGATCGTTCCTTAGGGGCTTTCTTCTGGTTCTGGGCTTTCAGCAGAAGCAAGTCTAAAATGCTCATATTTCTGTTGCAACTGAAGTTGTTGACAGGGAGCTAGATCCCGGAGCAAGATTCTAGATGACTTAGGCTCCAAGTCGTAAGCTAGGGAGGGAGTGCATTGAACTCATTGGGCCTCATGTTACTTTTGAGTAAACACCCTTAGGACCATTCTGTTAAGCTGCAACCAAAGATCCATTAAGTTGGATCGAGAAGTGGAAAGGCCTCAATCCCCTCCAATCGCAGCTAACAGTAGGTCTCCAGTGGTGTGCTTTTGAGGGTCGGCAGAGACACTTCCCAGTACCCCGAATGCAGCGCAGCTATGTTTACTCGAGTTCACTGGACTTCCATTTGTACACTCGCCATCCTCTGTCAGTCTGGGTTTCGCTTTGGAAACAGGGCTTCCATTTCCAGCTATCACTCTTACCGCGCGTGTTCTGGGGCAGATTCGGCGCTGCATTGCTTACACTAGCCAAGGTGTGAACAGGGAGCCAATGAAGGGCAGCTTTCCCCTTATTAAGTCGTCTCGATAAGAAAAGTATGGTCTCGTGTGGAGCGGAAGTTGGTCCCAGAACTGCTCGGGTGACAGACTCAGTGCAGGAAATACAGGAAAAGTTTGGCACGCCTTAAAAGCCCAATTGAAACCAAGGGGATTTGAAACGCGCTAGAGACCCTTTGAATCCAGTTGGATATAAGTGGCACGCAGCTTTCCCCTACGTCTACTTTAAGGTACGATCGTATCCGCCTTTCTGCCGCCCAGGCGGCCTACATGAAGTATCCAAGCTGTGTTCCATATCCAGAACTTAGGCCGGCTGCTCGGCTTCCACCACGTACCTTCTGACCACGCTCAGCAGCCCTTCCTCCGACATCATAGAAGCGAAGAGTTGGGAAGGGACCCCGAGAGTCATCTAGTTCAACCCCCTACAATGCAGGGATCTCAACTAAAGCATCCATGACAGATGGCCTGCAGCCTTAACTGGAGACAAACCCTATTGACACCAGTCAGCGTTACCTCCAAAGAAATAGGCATAGGATCATGCCTGAATATGTCTGTGTATTTGTTGGCAGAACTGAGGTTGTTATGAACAATGGGAACATATGGAACTGCCTTATACAGAGTCAGGCTGTTGGTCCATCTAGCTCAGTGTTGTCTTCACGGACTGGCATAGGCTGCCCAGGGTTTCAGACAGGGTCTCTCTCAGCCCCACCTAGAGGCGCCAGGGAGCCCTTCCGTATGCAGAGCAGACGCTCTGCCAGTGACCTACGATCCTTCCTGGTTGGGATTCTAGGTTGCATTTAAACATCCCTTGCAAACTTTATGCGGTTGTTTTAGAAAAGGGAAATTAAGATTTTTGCACGCCCCCCACCCCCGGTCGCCGCCAAAAAAAAGGGGGGAAATCATGTATCGCAGAAGCCAGAACCATCAAGTCCTTTGAGTCGTTCCATCGATCTGCTTACCTCTTTAACAAAATATATTATTCACAACTCTGAAACGCGCTTTGAAGTTCTGTGCATCCGCTACCTGCTTGGAGATGGATATACAATTACATTCTCGTATCTCCTACCTTTTGTGCTGATTGCTCAAGAGCCGGTCCGGGAGTCAGGCCGGAACCTGGATTCTAATCCTTGCTCAGTTACGACCAGCGCTGGAGGTCCTTGGAACGATTATGATCTGTGAGCCTAGCCTACCTCACGGGGTTGTTGTGAGGATAAGCCAAAGGGAGGACAAGTATGCAAATATTGATCCTGATCCTCGGTGGAAAGACAGGACAGGAATATGAGAGGCAAGACTGTCGAGGCTGTAAGAAAACCTACGTATATAATTCATTAGAATGCAGAGTCTTTGTAGCTCTCAAGAGGTGCAAAAAAGGAGCGATTCTACTAAATACCAACGGGGGGAAAAGGTGCAGCTTATAACTTCAGTAACAGCCCAGACACAATATTACTTAGTCAAGAGTAATGCTGCTCGTTGCTAATGGTGAGACTGCAAGTACCACAAACAGTGCCATTGCCACTCACCGTAGTTGCACGATTTTTAATTACAGTCAGTCAACAAGCACTGTTGTTGAACTGATATCACCGGCGCAGCTTACTGTCCGTAGTGCAACCGGCACCTGTGATCGGCATTGCTCGACCCTAACTTAGCGTGTTCGCTTGGAAAGAGGCTCCGTTGAGTTCCAGTGGGGCTTTCAAGCAAGTCTACACGAGGCTAATGCTGGGATCCTAGGCGCGCTTGACAATGAGTAGGGATTTATTCTCAAGCGAAAAGAATGTAGTTTGGGGATCGGAGAGGGACAATAACCAAGGCGAGTTCGTCGACTCCCCGCACCTATTAAACAAATCAAGGACGGGGAAGTTTTAAAAGCACCCCCCAAAGGGCACCGTGCACGCAGACAGACACCCCCCCCCACTTCCATGGCATTTTAAAATATAAAAACT